AGGGCTGCCAGCAACTCTGTGTATCTCACACCTCACACACCATGTATGTCTGCACCTTCTGCCCTCCCCTGGCCCTGGATCCACAGCTCAGCCTCCACTCTTCCTTGTCTCACATAAGAGCCATGACTTATGAGTGTCCATACCTCAGTCCTAAAAACCTGTGTATTCAGCCCTTAGGGTTTCACATGGAGCAGAAGGAGTTTTGCAGACGAATAGGGATAAGAACAGAGACCTTGCCCACTTTTCCCCTTGTGTCACCTGACCCCGCTTCCTGCCTCCACACACTTCCCATGTTGCCCTCTACCCACTGCACCCACCTCTGCGCTCCGCTCTCCATCTGAGCAGCTGAGTCACCAGGATGACGAGGACCAGGAAGAGGAGGGCGCCCAGGATGAGGCAGAGGATCCCAGGCAGGGAGAAGATGCCAGGGATCGGATTGGAGCGTGGCCTGGTCCCTAAGGAGGAAAAAGCAAGAGCGTTTGGAGAAGGACATGGACACAGAGAACCTTCCAAGGCCACCATTTCCAGAGAGCTCCACACAGTCAATTCCCAGCCTCAGACGTAACCGGACTGACTGTGACTCGTCTACCACTGGTCTTATGCTGAGATAATTCAACTCCATTCCTGCTGGTGTGGCCCAGGGAGATCTGCAGATGATCAGGGAGCTTCCCGCTGAGACAGCCTCTCAGCAGTGGGCTCACAATGAACTCCTCTCCTTGGGCTTCACGAGAGCAGAGCATCAAACAAGCCCTGGGACTGGCACCTTTTGGAGAGCAACAATCACGGGAAAGTAACAAATCCTTCGATTCTGCAGCATAGTAACCGGCCTCCTCTGGATCGTGGGGACACAAGAAACTTCTGGCACCCTGAACCAAGGCAGAGGGAGTTTTCCAAGGAAAATGCCCTGCTTGCTCCCCACCAGCCAGAGGTTCCTCAGGATCCGCCCTCTCCTGAGGTGGCTGATTCCGGGAGAGACCATAGAGCAGGTCCCAGGAATTGGAATGTTCTCCCCGCCAGGGGACCGTGGCACCGTACCTGCTGTAGCGGGGGGCAAAGTTGTCCTCTCACCTGGAGAGAAAAAGAGGGGTTTGCAGCACAGGGATTGGACAGAATGCAGGGCAGCCCACGTTTCCTT